TAAGCAACAAGCGGAAGCTGGACAGAAGCTTAAAAATATTTTGAAAAATGAACTCAAAGATAGACCACGTAATGGTGAACATGATCTCATTCTGAAATATGTTAATGTAGTACCTAAAATTAATCACAAAAAACTAAAAAGGCTTGCCAAGGTAAGATCAGAAAACACCTCTTTACTTCCAATATGATATTTTAGTCTTTAACTCGGTCTTTAATGAACCCTAGTTAACTGGCGACATTAATGATGCCAAACTACAAATGTTTGACTACTTTTTATAGAGGAAGTGGGGTACTAATAGCTATAAGCAGTAGTTTTATCAGCTACAGTAAATATTGAAGAATTTTTTGTTAAAGTTCAAATTGGTAACAGCAATATTATCATTGCAACAGCTTATTTCCCACCCCGAAGTGCACCAGAAAAGTATGTGAGGTTTCCTGAGAATGTTGAGAACCTATCTGGAAAATATCCAGAACACAAACTTTGTATCCCGGGAAATTTTAATCTTTTGTACTGTCAGTGGAATAATAATGGATTGTCTTCAGTCGCTGTGCCTATGGCGGTAGTTCCACTAAACGAAATTGAATCAAATCAAATCAGATCAAATCAAAATATGCTTTATTGTTTAAAGGTACAAATCTTGATAACAAAGCTTCCAAATATAATATAATTAAAATTAAAATCATCAACAAAGTAGGTACGTAAAAATAACGATAATAAACAGGAATAAAACAGGAATAAAAAGAACTGGATAGAATAGATTGAAAGACTGCTCAACATTAAAATTAAAAACAAACTTAAAATTAAAACTTAAAATTATTGACCATTAAACAGAGGAGATGAGAAGTATTCCTCTACAGAGTAAAAACCCTTAGCCAAAAGTAATTTTTTGACTTGTCTCTTGAAACATCTACTCTCCTTTATTGTTCTTATGCTATGAGGTAGGTGATTAAACATTTTCTTAAGGGGGGGCAAGGTTAAAATACGTCTGTCTATAAAGAATGGTCTGCAAGAGTTCCGTGGACTAAGAACACAACGACCTTATAGCACGCTTCTTGAGAACAAATATGATGTTGAACAATGTTAATGAGCAAGAACCCCAGAAGCAAATGCCATAACTAAGATGTGACTCGATCAAAGAAAAATACACCCGTCTAGCAACTGATTCGCCCAGCTCAGCCTTGACAGTTCTAACAGCAAAGCATGCTGATGATATTTTTTTACATAAATGCTCAGTGTGTTTGTCACACCTGAGCTGATCATCAACAATCAGGCCAAGATATTTGGTCTCCATGCTTCTGCCTATAATAGTATCATCCCGAAAAACATTACCAAGATAACATTTAAAATTCATGATGGATGTCTTTTGAATATTAAATGACAGCCGATTGGAGTCACACCACATTTTGATTCTCGCTAAGTCATCGTTCACCATAGCAGTAAGCATGACGGTGTCTTTATGATGCCAAACTGTTGTGGTATCATCAGCAAAGGAAGTGCATAGACCACTCTTCACAGCTGCAGGAAGATCATTAACATATAGTAAAAACAACAATGGCCCCAAAGCAGACCCTTGCGGAACGCCGGCGCTAACACTTAGGCTACCGGAAACCCTACCCCCTGAGACAACACTCTGACTTCTGTGTGACAAATAAGAACCAAACCACCTCAGGACAATACCCCTAAAACCATAGAGTTCGAGCTTGTGCAGCAGTATCTCGTGACTGACGCAGTCAAAAGCCTTTGTCAAGTCACAAAACACCGCTGCAGCCTTCTCACCATCATTAAGTCTGAGGTATACCTGCTCCAGGACATTGAAAATGGCGTCACTCGTATTTAGGAAAACCACCATCCTCTCCTTCATGAGCTTTTCAACTATCTTGCTTAGCGTAGGCAGCAATGATATTGGGCGATAGTTAGAAGGTAACTCCTTCTCTCCTCCCTTGAAAATTGGAATCACCCTGGCTTTTTTTAAAAGGTTGGGAAATTACAAGTTGTTTCATTTCTATACTCATACCACAACCTTTTCCTCTACCAACTCAACTCAGGTGGAAATGTTAACAACAACTCACTTGATCTGGTTTTTATGCAAGGTAGGAGATATTTGCAACACCACTGTCTTTTGAGGTCAAATATTGTTTTAACAACTCGGATGGTTAATATCTTCCAAGAGATTGTCTACCTAAAAATTTATATTTTTGTTCCTTTGATCAAATTCATTTTCAAGAAGTTTCCTATTTGGTTATCGCCAGAACCTATGATAAAATAAAAACACATGCGAGAGCAATATCACATTGACAGTCTTATTTGTTGCAATGATGCAGTAAATATGTCTATTTGTATCTTGTTAGCATAAGACATAGACCAATTAATGGTTATATGTTGGCCATATGAGGTGTGATATCTCTCCAATGAAAAACAGCGCACATCTCTTATCTAAGGTTCCTAGTTGGGACATTTAAGTCGCTGAGCTGAGAGCAGCTCAGGGCAAATCAGGTAACCTCTGAGCAACTTATAAATCAATAACTGATCAAATTTTTTATGTCTATGCTCTAATGTTTCCAATGATAAAATATATTCTAAAGATGATTATACTTTATAAAATAAAATCTGATGGTATTTCCAATTTGTAACCTATGTAGGTATCTCAAGATTTTCTTCTGTACGGGTTCAATTATGAGATATATACCTTCTGTAATGCGCTATAATGGTGTTATAAGTTATTCTGGAGTTGGGAGTTGGGATTGTTAATTTGTTTGCTGAAAACTTTTCTAAAACTTATAGTAAAGACTGTATTTTGCAGGACATTCTGCTTTCTAAACTACAAGAACTACAAGAGGCGTTCCACAAGGCTCTGTTATCGGACCCATTTTATTTTTGTTGTATTCAAATGACTTAGCAGCTTTAAAGATTCAGGGTTCGTTTACATTTTTTGCGGATGTTACTAGTCTTCCCTGGCATGGTAAAAACAGAGATGCCCTCAAATTAACAGTTGATAGGACCTGCGTGAAGTTAAACTTTGGTGTGATGCAAATTTGCTTTGTGTTAATGTAAATAAAATCAGTATGATCACCATTGGGTTTTGCTACAATGATTTGTATTTGAATGATAGAATTGTAGAAAATAAACCCCTTACAAAATTTTTAGGTCTCATTATAGACAATAAACTTAAATTTGAGGACCATATCAGGGCACTAAGTAAAAGGTTGTCTGCTGGTTGCTTTGCAATAAGAATAGTTTTCAACGAGCTTAGTTACTAATTCACAGGTTAATAACTATCTTCCCATTAATATATTAAGTTGTATCCATGAGGTTGTATCCCTAAAGTATTTGAGAGCCTTGTTTGTGATTACCTGTCTACTGGTTTAAAAGGCTGTTTTATCGATCAGCAATTTGGATGCATTTCTCATCGCTCCACAGAACTCAACCTTTTAACATTTACTGACTATCTCTTGGAATCCTTGGAGGGTGGTTATCAAGTTCATGCTGTGTATACTGATTTTGCAAAGGCGTTCAATCCGGTTAACCTTAGAGTTTCAATTGATAAGTTGCAGGGCCTGGGAATTCAGGGAGTTCTTCTAGAATGGCTTTCTTCTTTCCTATATGAAAAAACACACATAGTGCGTATTTAGGGATTGCAATCAATAGAAATTAAAGTACCATTGGGTGTACCCCAAGGTTCACACCTGGGCCCTCTACTCTTAAATTTATATGTGAACGATATTGCATTCTGTTTTGTCTTTGCTTTCTTCCTAATGTTTGCAGATGACTTAGGTAAAATTATACATGAGAATCAAGAATAATACCGTTATATTACTGATTGCATAAAACTGCAGCCGACTTGAATCGTCCCAGCAGCTGGTGCGAAATTAATAGAATGGAACTTTATGTTAAAAAGTGCCTTTAGTCATAACAGAAATCCCACGGAACAAGTCCACACTATAATGGTTGCCCTTTGGGATCTGTATGTCAAATCCGTGGTTTAATTAAAGATCTAGGTGTAGTCCTTGATTCCAAGTTATTTAACATACCCCATATATCAATTATGTCTGTATCAAAGTCACTTCAAATATTAGTTTTTATTAAATTAAAAGGTGTGCACCCCACTTTGCTTAACGCAATTTCATTTCTGAAACTATAGGGTCTAAATGAGCAGACATTCTCAGGGATTGTAGTATAGTCCTCCACAAGGATGAGATTCACTGAAAATTTCAGCTTTCCATCTATAATAGACAAAAAGTTAAAAAATTTCAAAAATCCATGCCAGATAGTATTAAAATGATGAACGGTCGGTAGTAATCATCTGTCAAAAGATAAATGTGAAACCAGTGTATAACCAACGAGTGAAGTTAGATGTTTAAAAACATCCCAGTAGGTGGCTTTTTTAAGACAATCAAAAATGTGATTTTTGCAGTGCACCCCTCAACATTTATTCTACCTCATATTCACAAATCACATAGACACGCATAATCCATAAGTGAAAGGTTGGCGCAAAAAATTCCAGGTTGGTATTTTAGACACATCAGATATTGGCATTAGAAAGTTTTATTTATGTTTTTATTCTTTGTTGCTGAATGTGAAACAAGCAAATTACCAGATTTGATCACCAACAACTTACAATTCAACAATACGATTATAGCTGAAACCAATAGTTATTGGTATAAAAGTTTATGATATTAAGTTTATGAACTAGAAAATAATGCTTATTATCAATATCACATTTTAATCCTTTAGTTGAATGAGTTATCTTTAGTTCTGGTTCTTGTAGTCTGACTTGATAATTAATAATAAAAATTGTTAGAAAGTTTTTTTCCTCAAGTAATGGTAATAAGGTAACCTTCCTAGCAATTTTCATAACAACGAAAGCTCAGATCAATCAGTGTAATTCAACACTGGTAGGGGTATTTGCTCTCGGAGTAGTTGTTTCTGACTGGTCAACGAAGTTCAATATTAAAAATGGTTAAAAGTTTGATGAAATCCTCTATAAAATCTCTTTGTTCTAGCATTGAGGATATGCCATGGGCGCAGAACTTATGGGAGAAAGTTGAGCAGCATAGCAAAAAAGGCTTTCTCAACTGGTGTAAAATTGTAAAAAAAGTAGCCGGTAACAAAGGCGAAGATGTCCTTATGTGGAATAATGAGTATCTCAGGTCGGTCGATGAGATTTTTTGCGATATGGTGGCCGAAATGTCGCGAATTCATTCGTCAACCATTAATAAAATGCAAGAATTTTTCACTCGACTAGAAAAGGCGTGCATCGAACTCCACCAACCAATGCCTGAAATAAAGGAAGAAGGTTTAAGTCTTTACGAAGCCCAGCAACAATTATTGAAATATGTCAAAGAGTGAGTTGTTGAAAAAATTAATTTACATACCTATTTAATTTTTTTTTTCAAATCAATTTAGATATGAAGTTGTCATCAATGCTAAGAAACTAGCTCTCGAAAATCTTAACAAAAAACAAATACAATTATGCAAAGAGTTGGACCAGAAACTACAAATTGATTTGAAGTACCCCCCACTGCCTACCCAAGCACAGTTTGATAAATTGAAGAAGTATATCGATAAATTAGAAGCAGAAAAGTTTGAACGCGAAGAAAAATTTGTAAATTTGAAACATGAAATCGCAGAAATCGTTGATGAAATCAAATACAAACCAAATAGCGACTTTGAAAGAGAGGTTTGATTTTTGTAAAAAATTTTTTTTTGAATAACCCTTGATAAATATTTTTTCAATAGGTATTGTCTTCAGATGATATGATGTTAAGTAACCAGAATCTAAAAATGCTGGAGTTTTTCGCCAAGTGTATGAAAGAGCTCAAACTATCCACCGAAGAAGAAGTGTCACATTTAAGAACAAGAATTGAAGACCTATGGAAAATGTTGGATATCGAGTTAATAGATAGAGATGAATTTAGAAGTCATTATACAGGCAACTCATTAGACACTTTGGAAGCGTTAAAAATTGAAGTTAAAAGATGCGAGGAACTTAGAAAAGCCAACATAAAAAATTTTGTGGACAAATTAAGAGACCAACTCCAGACTATTTGGACAAAATGTCAATGCTCAGATGCGGACAAAAAGAGTTTCAGGTATTTTTACAATGATTTTTATACAGAGGATTTGCTTGACCTGCATGAATTGGAAATTCAAAAATGGAAGAAATATTACGAAGAAAACGGCAAACTTCTGGATATAATAAAAAAGCACCAGGAATTGTGGGATAAGGTAATAACAATTGCCTATTTTGTTTGTGTGTTTTTTTTCAAATATATATTTTTTCTAGATGATTCAATTTGAAGAAAATGCAACTGGAGTAAATAGATTTAAAAATCGAGGTGGTCAGTTGCTGCAAGAAGAAAAAGAACGCAATAAACTCTCTAAAGTAATACCTCAACTGGAAGAACAAATGTTGAATCTGTCTGGAGCGTTTTTGGTTAAGAACGGTGTAGTTTTCAAGACTTTTGGTAGCACTGTCGAGGAATATATCCAAAATTTGCACGAGTCCCGTGAAAACGTATATAGATTCTAATTTTGCAACAAAATTTTCTAATCAATTTTTTTAGGACCGTAAAACTAAGCTGAGCGCTCGGAAATTGCAACGTTGTGAAACAACTCTTCGCACTCCAGGTAAATCTTGTATGAGCTTATTTCCACCATCCACAAGTAAGTGCACTACAGTTACCCCAAAAACGCTTGCGTCTGCTTCCAAAAGGAAGATATTTGCCACTCCTAATACGGAGAATACTGCAAAGAGGCCTAAGGCAGCACCTGCGACTGTTGGTTCAAAAACGAGTAAGTAGAATTGATTGTAGATGTTTCTAGATAATATTTAAGTTGCTAGAAAGGGATACAATATATGGCATGAGCCAGCATATTATCTATAATACAGTTTTTACTATAGAAATTCTTTTAGTTCAAGAATTTGTTCGTTCAAATGTAAAAAGCTGATAAAAATTTTTTTTAGTAGTTTATTTTGCTTACAACTGAATAATTGGTTCCCTTTTATTATAGAAGGCACACCAAGAGTGATTCCTAAAATCAAGGTTACACACCAAACCATGTCACTGCCTAAACAGCGCAGGTCACGTTCGTTCCAGGAAAAACAGAAACGGAAAAGGGCCCTCAGGCAAAGTAGGGGTGCTCAAAATGAAAATGTGGTTCCTGATCCAAATGAAACTAAGGATACAACGTACCATGACTTTCAGGTAAGATTTTAGACTTTCCTAAAATAATTTCAGTACAAAATTTTATATTGAACAAATCCATATTTTATACAGTGCTTTTTGGCTTATTTTCGTAATATAATAATGTGCAGAACAATCTACAGAATTCGATTGTGTCTATTGTTCGTCGATTTTTAACTGATACTTGCGGTATGAGGAGCGAGGGGGTGTTTCATATGGCAAAAACAGGTGTGACGTCAGGTAACCATTGGCGTTCTAATGTAGGGAGCCACCAGCTCACATTCCATCCGAGTATCAGATTAAAATCGACGAACAAAATTTTTTTCATTGCCGATATTTCGTTCATCATATGTGCACTTATCCGAGATCAGAAATAATACATTTTCGGCCTAAGAGAAGACAAATAGACTCACTATGCGATCCGTAAAAATATTGTGTTGTATCGGACGGTTCGACTATAGGTACTACCGTGAAACTGCCCTTATTTTCCATAAATTGAACAGACTTCTTCAAGACGATAGAGTCAACAGCACAGAAAAAACCTATTTACTAGACTGCCATATTTCTGTGTTATTGGAAAAAATGAACACTTTAATTGGATGTACTAAATACTTTAATAAATAGTGATAAAAAATACTTTAATTTACAGAGAAACCCAATGGCGTACAGCTCTCTTTGCTCACCTATTGAAGAGGGTCAGTACTATTTTTTTTATATTCATCAATATTGCTTTGTGTGAAATTTGTATGACTTTTGTAACAATTTTGTATGAACTATTATTAACTATTTTTTTGTCACACATAAAATGTAGATTTTGATGCATGTAAGAAAAAAGCTTGGGTCCATTTTTTACCAGAGCTTGCATGGTATTTCGCTTTGAAACTCTTGATAATAAAAAATAAATAAATATTTTGTGTTTTTTTTTTTAGAGCAACTTGTCGAATAAAGGACAATCCACGCGCAGCACCATCTTGCCAAGTGAGCTAATTCCAGCGACTTCCTCACAAGCTACTAAAAGGACACCTAAAAAAACTCCCACTTTTAAAACTCCAACCAGGACTCCAGCATCTGCAAAAACTCCTTCCTCTAGGACCCCTAATGGGACTAAAAATGAAACCAAGCTTGCTGTGTGCAAGAGTAAATTGAAGTTACTGTTTTAGTTGTGTTGTGATGATATTTATTTGTTTTGGAGTATTTGATTTTTTTTTATATTTTTACATGCATATAATCATTTCCAATTTGTATGTTTTGTTTATTAAATTATGTTATTTGGGAGTCTCTTTTGAGGTTCATTTAGAACTGGAAAATGGTAAGTTTAGTTAAATTGGTGCAAAGTGGAGTATTTCCATGTTGAACAAAATGGCCTTGCAAATACAAATATGATACCTACATTCCAAATACTTACTGATGAGATATGTTGAAAAATCAAAATTTTGCAAAATAATAAGGCTGGGATTACCCAATCTTAATCATTCCGTGTTCTCAGTGTTTTTAAATGAGGGTACTCATTCAAATCTTTAATAAGCAGATTTCAAATAATCAGAAACCACAAAAAGCATCTTTTTACAAAAATTGAGGAGCTTGTGGCGGGATTCTGTAACGGACAGAGATCGTTATCTCTTTTGCTATGGCACTTGCTGTTTTCTTCTCTCTTTCCGAAATCAATAGAGAGGGGACGTCAATAGAGAATGCGAAAATATCTCTCTGGTAACCCTGGCCTTATTTTGAAATTATATTCCAATTGGGGCAACCTTTTACCCTCTTCAAGGAGCTGCTACCAAATTTGAAATATGCTGATACCTTTGGCCATTGTATAATGACTGGCCAAAAACAAGAATTTGTATTGCCATTCTTGTTTATCAACAATATCATTGTTGATGGTTTCCACAGGAGTACATTCAAAGTTACAATGACTCCGAATAATCCTAGGAAAAATAGAAACGATTTTGCAAAATATGATGTTTTTTCACGATATCCAGATTTTATAGCGGCATTTTGTTGAACAAAAACATTGCACTAGGTAAAACTTGTTGGCAAAAGCCGAAAATGTTCATTGCCTCTTGTGCAAAATGTATTATATGTATTTTTTTCTATTTGTATTGTTTAGATTTCTCAGTATTTTACTTAATGGAAATATTTTTTTTTTTTTTGGACACAAAAGTTGTAATGTTTATTATTGTCCAGAAGGTATTTTTATTTTTGTATTATGTATTTTATATTGTCTTTTGTTTCTTGTTTTTTTCCCAAAATTGTTAAATATACTTTAATGGAATGGCATTAAGGAAAAAATATTATTTAAAAGTTGGTGGAAGATTTATAAAAAGCCACATAATATAAATATATTTTATTAAGGACTTTACAATTAACCATAAATATATTTTATTAAGGACTTCACAATTAACCATAAATATATAGTTTAAAACCAGAAAGCAAAGATGTGTTTGTTATTAATTAAATAAACGCATATGCAATTTATTCTGTCTATAGGTATTTAGTTGGAAAAAAATCACGGTACTAAAACTATAAAATGAGATACAGTGCTTGTGAACTTACAGAAAAATATGAAAATCCAAGTGCTTACGAAGTTTCCACAGTTTTGAAAGACACTTTCGGAATATCCTTGGACTATTAGTGAGAAGACAATTATCATGGACATTTGCAATGTTCCAGATGACCGCATTAGGACAGGTTTAGTTTTTTTTGGGTCATTTTTTTTTAAAAGTCTTCAAGGCTGGTAATACCATTTTAACTTAAGTTTGTTTGTAAATCTGACCTCAATAATTCCAAAATTTGTGTAATAGCAAAATTCGTTGTCAAACTAATTAGGCTTTGTATTCATATTTTGGAATAGATTTACTTTTTGCCTTCAAATATCCCTAACATAGAACTAGATTCAAAGTAGTTTTCATCATTTTTTATAATCATTTTTTCATAAAGTTAAGTAGGACGGCGGCGAAGCGCGTAAAAGCCTTCGTTTTAAGGAGCAAGCCGGTATTGAGGTATAATTTATTGATACAATTTTTTAGAGTTTTTATCGTCTGTTATTAAAATTAACACTCTATAATTTATTGAGACTAGTATCAGATGATTCGGCATATTTTTCTGCATATGAATGAATCGAAATGGACGACTTTTTTCATTGGTCGAGAGCCAAGTAAGGAGCAAAAAACTAAAAATATATGGAAACTAAAATTTCCAAGTTTAACCTCGTATAACTTCTAAACCGCTTATAGAATGATTTTTCTTCTAGATTCTAGACAAAAATATTCTCTTTAATATGGTGTATGTATTATTTGAAACATATCAAAGTAGAGCTCAAAAAAATCAGTTATTTCGTAGACACGGCGCGATTGAATAAAATATACGTTTGCTTTAACCTGCGATAACTCCTTTATATATTGGAGTATTTAATTCATTTTTCGCTCAAAAACTGGCAAATTTAATTGGCTTACTTTTGACTCAATTATATACCGACCTATTTTCAATAACAAACTCAATAGAGCCGTTTAAACACAACAAAGCGCGGTCTGACGGGAGAAATTGTGTGGTTCCCCTCTCATTCCCGCTGCCTGCTGACAACCACGAGCATGATTAAAAAAACTATGTGCGACGCCGTAGAATGCATGTTAGTCAATTTTCCTTGTCTATGGAACTTTGTGTTCTATTTATGAAAAGTCTAGTTTATCGGGTTCTGCTTGAATAAGGAGTTTGCACAGGTAAGATGATAATTACAGGTATTTTTTTGATCTGAACAAACTCAACAAACTGATGTAATTACATCAGATTTGTTTATGAGCGTCAAAAAAACAATTCGAGCTATGAAATCGTAGTAAAATCAGATGACAGTTGTTTGAAACAAACCTCAAATGACTTCGATCAGTTTGTTTAGATCGAAAGAATACCTGGATTATCAGTAAGTATAGTCTATTTCATTTTTCATTGCAGTTGATAGCTCAAATCGAGGTTTAGTAGGACCATAAAGTCATTGTGAACCTAATGGTTTACAATGGTTCTAAAATGACTTCATGGTCCTAAACTTCGATTTGAACTATCAACTGCAATGAAATAGACTATAGTAACATGAAAAGTTAACTGAAAATTATCGAAAATTTTTGGGAAACTTGTAAGTCGAACGCCCTTAAGTTAAAAAAGAGAACGAGTGCACGTCAAAACTAAAAATTAGTTAAATAGGTAGGTGGTGGTTCTCTGAGCCGATAGTAAGTTATCGGTACCTATCGAATAATTATCCCGTAATTTCAAGTGTGATTGGTCTGTCAGGATCTACCGCTCGTTTAATTAATTGTTATATTCAACGGATGAATGAAAGTATCCCTCTTTTACACTTTACGTAGCTACCTACTACTTCAAATTTTTTCATTATGTAGACGGACTAACATTAACGTCATGGATATTGTTTGTCTTTTATGTTGCAATATATTTACGGCGGAATCACCTTGTGTTAAAAAGCCAACAAAACAGTGCTTCGCGACCATTTTTTTCTGCAGCAGATAAAAGAGAAGATGCTATTTCTTTACAGATATTGTCACGAAGAAAAGAAAGAAACGCTAATCCCGAAAGATTCAAATACACTGTGATATTTTGCATCCGCAGCGAAAAGATCAGTATACAAATTCATTCTACCTTGCATCATTATTTGTATAGCGCTTGTAAAACTTTTCTCGGGTAGGTACTACTCCTTGTACCCTGTACATTAGTAGTAAGTATATAATAAAAATTATTCACGATGCATTACTATCCATATTCATGCATGGTGCATAATCATTCTATGGAACGGCAACACCGGCTAGTCTTCTTCGACTCCGCCGTCGGCCTTCGTCTTATTGGAGATGGAACAGGGGAAATCGTGTTCGATCTCTATTTACCCTTAGACTTTTCCTATACATTTAATTCTATTGCATTGAAATTGGCCTGTAAGATGTTCGCTTGCCAGACCTGTATGAAGGAGTTATCGCAGGTTAAAGCAAACATATATTTTTTCTAATTTTGACATTTAAAGTGACACTTTTCAAAACTCGTTGAAGTTATCAAATGCCTTACTTTTCATCACCAGTTACGAAAAGTAAAATTTTTCGCAACTGGTGATGAAAAGTAAATTTCACCATTAGTTGCACAAAATACAGGAACAAAATCTGTGATACTTTTGGCGCTGAACTACTCGGAGTACTTTTTTGTTATTATTTTCTTTGTACGGACATATTAGGATGATTTAATTTTATTCAAATAAGTTACATAATATGACAATATATGAAAAAAAAACTAATTTCATATAAATATTAATAGGTACTTAACACAATTTGAACAATTATTGATGATATTGGCAACATAGTTTTCTGTGTAACATTAATTAAATAAATAATTTGAATGTTTGTTTCATGGAAGTCTCTCCAAGGATGTTGGTGACAAAGCAATGACCGGTTTGAGTCGCCAAACTTGACAATAAACAATAAGTATTGTCTGCCCAGCGAGTCTGTGTCTACGGGGCAGCGGTGAGGGGAATGCAGTTTAAAAAAAAAATGGCTGATTTCATTCATAAAATACCCAGCTGCGTGCGTAACTTTTTGGAAGTGTTATCTTATTGCAACTCGTACACGAAAATCAATAATAACCAAACTCCCGCCACTGGATATTTCAATATAAATCAATATTCCAAGATGGGAGGAAACAATGACGGGAGCCCTAAGCCGCATTCTTTCGCAAAATATTTGAATCATGATTCCGAAATCCTGATCCGTTCGTTCAGATGGAACATGTTTCATTTATTAGTCCGAAAAAACGCTGTCACTGATGTGACACTGCCAGCTGGTGCTTTTCCTCTATTCTCTATTTTTTCAGTTGGTTATTATTATATTTTGCAGTTTTTTGATTTGCTACGTTTGTTTTTCTGTGCCTATAATAATGGACGAGCTTACAAAATTTATATTATATATTATTGCAGAAAGCGCAAAAAGTAAACAAGAAATAATTTGAAAGTTGAGGTTAGATTTTCGCGATCGGAACAAACTAATCACAAACAAAAAATGTTCAATATGTTCAGAATTTCTCGGATCATGATTCGTTAACTGTCATTTGCCAAAATGCGAAAGAACGTGATCACTGGAACATAACGCGTTTTGATCAACTGATCTGGTCCGAAAGAATACGGCTCTTGCCAATAGCGAGACGTAAGGTGACGTTAACCCATTGACAACGGCATGGTTCCCGGTGGCAACGGCAATAATGCCAAAAACTCCACCAATCAGGTTCATCCAGGCCGGATGCTTGCCAAATTGACAAAAGCTGATGGAATCTTTAGAAAATGTCTATCTTTTATCTTTTACAATAGACCAAATTGAAGAAATCAGGTATTTAAATAAGAATAGATCGAACAACAACGTTAAAATATTTAACGTTTTATTATTGTTATCTATATTTTGTTATTAAAAAATGGATTTTCAAATTAACTATATATTATACCTAGTATTTTCGCTTTTTTATAATTAAACGTGACAACATCGTACATTTACGTCCGAATTCCTTCCGTAGACTCAGAGGGAATCCAAACCACGTGACTTTTGCCCAAGGATGACTTTTGCCAACCAGCCGGCATTTTGAAATTTTTATGAGGTTAGAATACAGGTTGTTACATGTCGACGATGTCAGAAAAGTGTCAGATTTGAGTACTCGCCCCGTGTATTGATAAAGCCTTGTACTCATAATCGCGAAATTCGCTCTTTTTTTGACATTGCTTCGACAATTTGACGTTTGATTCACGCATAAAACGTCAAATTGTCGTTGCAATGTTAAAAAAAAAAAAACGAATTTCGCTGTTATGGGTACAATACTTAATTCTGCCAAAAAAAAACATATGTTTTTTGTTTATTGTTTGCCAACCAGACGCCATTTGGACAGGTCGTTGGATTGCCTAATTATAGAAGAGACATTTTTCATGTTTTTGACTCGAATTTGAATGGATCAGATCATAATATACAAAATTAGAAAAAATATTGTGTGAAACACTATTTTTCGTAACCCGCTTTCTTTTGCGGAACTCGCTTCGCTCGTTCCACAGAAATCTGCTCGTTATGAAAAATAGTGCTTTTCCCAACTGGTTGCACAAATAACTATTATGCAATCGCGCGGTGTCTACGAAATAACTGATTTTTTTGAGCTCTACTTTGACATTTTTCAAATAATATATACACCATATTAAAGAGAATATTTTTGTCTAGAATCTAGAAGAAAAATTATTCTATTACCTTAAGCGGTTTAGAAGTTATACGAGGTTAAAGTTGGAAATTTTAGTTTCCGTATATTTTTTAGTTTTTTGCTCCTAACTTGGCTCTCGACCAATGAAAAAAGTCGTCCATTTCGATTTCATATGCAGAAAAATATGCTGAATCATCTGATAATAGTCTCAATAAATTAT